CTCCAGGAACACCTTCAGCACCCCGCGGGTCTCCTCGTAGATGAGGCCGGAGATGCGCTTGACTCCTCCGCGCCGGGCCAGGCGGCGGATGGCGGGCTTGGTGATGCCCTGGATGTTGTCGCGCAGGACCTTGCGGTGGCGCTTGGCGCCGCCTTTGCCCAGGCCTTTCCCGCCCTTGCCGCGACCAGACATTGCTAAGACAGAGGAAGAAAACCCGACTGACGGCATGCCCAGGCCAGCAGGGCTCTCTTATAGGGAATGTGCGGACCGGAGTGAAAACTGGAAGCGCAGTGGCGGGAACTGCCCGTGTCTGGGGGAGGGGCCCTCACCGTCAATTTAACGCTACAGATTAGAGATGGAAAGGAACCTATTCCCACTATCTTTTAATATTCTTGTTTAGTATTATTTGTATAGGACCATGCTTACTTAATTCACACGTATCGAACAACCTTAGAGTCAGGCGCGCAATGTTTGCGAGTTTTTAAAGAGCTTTTGACAATTTTCGTTCAATGTGATCCCTGACGTGTCGGTATAAAACACAATTTATTATAAAATATACAGAGGCGCCAGGCGGTGTGCCGCAAGCCTTCAATCCCAGCACTCGGGAGGCAGGAGCAGGCGGATCTGGCCAGCTTGGTCAGCCCTGACTACACAGAGAACCGCGATCTCGAAAAACAAACAAACCAAGATTTTTTAGCCCCGTTTGCTTTTATCCCAGCACTCCGGAGGCAGGGGCAGGCGGATGTCTAGCTCGAGGCCACGGTGAACTTAGGGACAGACATGAATACAACACAGAAACCCTGTCTCGGAAGGCAACTTAAAGTGGCCACCTGAGTTGCTACCACGATATTGTCAAAACTTATATTCTTTAACCCTCATAGTTGAAATAGATGTCAAGTACACACACACACAAAAAGTATTAATTCGTGGGATTTTTAACGCTAATTTCCAGATGGGAAGCCGACAGGGAAAACAGGACTAGACCTCAGTTTTGTGTTTTGCTTCTTTTGGAACAAGAGATCCGTCTGGCCCTGCCTGTAGCGTGCTGAGAGAAAAGGCGTGCAGCATCACCGCCCGACTTACACTTTACGGTTTTTAACCATAGGTCCACAAATATCGCAGCACCGTTCAGGGGACATAAATCAACAAGTAAAACACCACCAGTGAACTTGCATATAAAAGTGTCACTGTATAAAAACAAAATGTTCAGCGCTTTAAGAGACATTGTAGATGGCTCTGAAAAGAGCCTTTGGGTCTGAAGTTTCTGAAAGT